TCAATTAGAACGACAAAATAATTCATTTAATATATCCGACATTTGTTGTGAATTAATCTTTGTTTCAATGTTGCTGTCATACGCCTATCATTTTCTGGAGTATCGAATTTCTCCTCTCAATAAACCTGAAGACTGTTGCTCTTCTTTAACAGGTGGGAGATTATCAACATAATCGAACAAGGGTTTGAACCACAAATACAAATCGAAATATAATTGTAATCCAAGCTCATCTAAGTCACGATTTATCCCTAAGATGAATTTGGTCCCTTCTACGACCTTTAAAGGCAAATAACAATCGTCTCTTAGAATAGAATGAATTTTTCCTTTTATGGAAACAATACATCAATCTATAAGAGTTCCAACGAACACAAATTTGTGCTTTGAATTTGAAAATTTGAATAGAATAAATGGAGTATTGCATTTTTATATCCTGGTATGTATCATAATTATTTCGATCTATATTCGTAAATATACAATGCAAAACTGGTGGAATAATTCTTGCATAGAAGAAAGTTATTTATAGAGTGTTTGTGACCATTCGAACAGCCTAAAAAGCTTCTTCAGGAATAGTGGCGACTATTTAGACATCTTTCTGTGCGAACTGAAATATTTAAGTCACTTACAAACAAACGGTTAGACTCTACTAGAAAAGCTTGTGGAAAATGGCAAATGGACCCACGCATTGCATCGAACTAAGCTGAATCGAACTTGTGCACATGCTAACCGGACGGCGACGCGTGCATGTAGGGTTTGGATTGAATCCAATAGGTTCTAGGTCTCTCCATTTTAAAGACTGGCAAATCTATTGCCAAACTTCCACTATTTTTTGTTTCAAAGTTTTTTACGTAGGATAAGTTATAGCAATTCAATCAGATTTTTTCTCATACCAAGTTTCAAGTGGGTTACTTCGAATCAAATTATTTACAAATTAAATGATTTTCGACAAAAATAAATTTATCATATTAATCTTCTCGTGAAGTAAAACATGAATATGCTCGGCCTCTTTAAATTCTAATTATGGAATGTGCTAAAATTTGAGCTCAAAGTTGATCAAATTCACAATTTATAAAACCATTTTTTCCAACAATCTAAATTACAAGAATCAAGTGACATATGAACTCATCATAGGAGAACTTATTTGTTAGTATTATAATTTTATTTGATCTATGTAAAAGGTTATCATGATGAAAGAGAGCTAATTACTAGGTATTTGATAATCACCCAAAAACTCCTAGGAATCTTATCTATCGTTAATGGAAAAATTCACATAAAAATACAGAAATGATTTGATGTCCACGATGAGCATGAATTATAATGCTTAACATGGGTGTGGCAACATTGGCAACACCGGAGGTTGCCTCGTCCACAGTCCACCATGGACATTAGATCAAAGTATCACAAAAGTATTGCATTCAACTCAATAATTGGATGGTTTCATGGAAACAATTGTGTTGATTTGCAGAAGTTGATAGATATATAAGATATTTTAATTGTTTTCAGTTGGTCGAGATTAAATGTTAATTAAATTATAAGAAATACCCAAAACTAAATTAATATGAAAATCATTGATTTCTTGAAAAAGAAATTGTATCCTTGTTTAGTTGAATTACATTTTAGCCAATGAATAAAAATTGCTTATGTGAATATATTGCAGCAACACATTAAAATATACTTTAATACGTTGAATTTAAACAGGTTAAACATCGAAACATATTATCATAACTATTAGACTGGAAATTGAATAATTAATTAGTGTGTATAGTTCTAGAAATCGAACCAAGTTACTTGTTATTTTTACGGGCTAAATAAGCAATGCCCAACCTTAATTTTTTGGCATGAGACAAAATTTAAAGACATTGAAATTCAAGAAAATACCGTACACTGTCGGCACGTGAATGGTCCCTTTGGCTTTTAACTTCTATTTTTGTGAATAAAACTATGGGAAGGTGACTTGTTTAAGTCCAACAGCACAAGAGTTTAGGGGTTTTCTTGATTGAATTACATAAGTGGTTGTCACATCTATTAAATGCACTGGATGAAGGAAATTTAATGGGACACTAACCAACACCCAATATTTTGGTTGATTTTTGCCTTGTCAACCACTTTTTGCTTTATTTTTGTTTAGTCGTATGTCCAAGAAAAAAACCTTTTTTTATTTTAAAAAATAAAAATAAAATTTCTCTCACTGGTTTTCAACTAATCTATGATTATGTTTGCAAATACCATAGGGTCCGTTTGGATTGAAAAATTTTAGTACGAAAGGAAATGAGTGGGAAAAAAATTGAAAAGGGAAAGTATTCTCTTGGAGAATAGTAGTTAGTTATTGAGCGATAATTTATTGATGTTGTGGATAAAAAGTTATGTATGTTTTAAATCATGTTACAGCAACAGAGCAAACTTGATACGTATGTTCTTGCATGTAAACGAAAAAAATAGCCAACTGTAGGTTTTTGACACTAGTGGTGGCGTGATTGGTGCCATTCTTGATACATGAGCGCTCCAAATCTCAACTTTCGGGCTCCTTTAGGAAATCTAATATTGAGGGAATTAGGGCATCTTTGACTAGTTTGTAGGGCTTTTGAGACTCAAGTCATGCCTCACAACACCAAGAAACACACCATACATCATACACAAAATCTTGGAGATAGATGCAAGAATTCTCTTAAAGCTAGGGTTTTTTTTTTTTTTTTTTATTATTATTATTATTATTTTTTCGGAATAGGAAGAAGGCGCAGTATGAGATCATTGAAGTTATTCAACAATAAGGATTGTTCCCAATTTTAATTCCAACTATGCTTAAAAATTATCTTGTATTTTTAAATCTTAACCATGTTATGCTAAAACTTGTATTACTAGTGTTACAAACAAAAACTTGTTAAATCTTTGATATCTAAATTGATTGTTTTTTAGTTATAGTTCTTATGTTGGTTGATTGTTTATTATTAAATTGATTAATATCTTATTATTTGAGCAATTTTGGGATATTCATTATACTCATGTTGAAATCGAGAAATAATAAATATTTCTAATTCAAATAACAAACAATACTAAGGCATATGGAAGATAAAGATTATATCTATGCTTAGGGTAATTTTGATTAATATTCTAAATTTATTTTGAAATTTTATCCATTTGTCTTTTGTAAAAAATAGTAGAGTTATAGGTAAAAAAATACATTAATCTATTTCTAGAGAGAGAAAAAAATAGTATATGAGAAATGTTGATCGTCAACATAAAACAAGAATTGACTATTAATTGGTTATTGAAAATTAAAGTAGAATAAAATAACAATTGTGAATTCAAGATGCTAGAGCCCTCCCCGACTTGGTTAAAACCCTAAGCTTTGCTTGCTTTTTAATTGCTATTTTAGTTAATAGTAAGATAGAATTGATCTCATGTCCACTAGGGGTAGGATAAAAAGAGTAACACTGTTTAGTCTTATTGAAATTATAACCCAGTCTATACGGTGTTAGATGTTAGGTGATAGGTGAAATGAAAGTTGGAATTAAATGACTCATTTAATTATATTTATCATTTAATGTCATATAAACGCCACATAAACTAGAATTATATTCCTAATTGGACTAATTAGCATTATCTAGATAAAAACTTCACACAGTGGAAATTTCCGTTGAGCATTGCAAAGGTTCTCAAATTCAAATTCAAACCATTGAATTTGTGGGTTTCCAATTAAGGCTAATTTTCCTTATAGTATTTGGTGGACTTTATCTTTTATGAAAAATGCCATTTTTCATCCAAATTCTTACTTTTGGGATGTTTGATTCACAGTTTTTTCTATGGAATTGTTTTTTCCAACTTTAAGTCATGTGAATATATTTCTCTTCAAAAATAAATAAAATGTTTTCTTTAAAGAGGGGGGTGATTTTTATTTTTTAGGTAATTTACTCTCTATTTCTCTCTCTCATTTATCCCCCCTCTCTTATCTACCTACAAATTAAAATGGACAAGTTTAATATTTTTAAGTTGAAACTAAATCAATCAAACTCATTCCATTAATAATTTTCTTACAAATAAGTTCTAGACGTGCAATCGAATTGTCTAATTTTTTTTTTCTTTCCATACAAATTTCATACTCATAATTAAACGCGCCCTAGAGTAAATAAATAAATAAATAACCAGTCATCGTCAAATGATTATCTATTCGTTGTTATATTTTCATATACGATTCCGTTCACTAAGAAAATTATATATTTTGTCGAGCAATTGGGAAAGTTCTCAAAAAGTCACATCTTCTTTGCTCATTTTCCTTCCATGTTTACTCTCGTTTTATTCTCTCCAAGTTTCTTTTCCAAAACATAATACTAGACGCCTATTGTCAACAAAATTTCAAAGGATAAGAAAAGCATCCTATCATGTTGTTTTCCAATGTGTTCATTCGGCTCCATCAGTCCCCAAAATTATCATAGTGCTTTTCATGATTATTAATAATTGATAGCAAATTATACACTTGTGATTTATTTGGTAAGCTCGATTGGTATTCAGAGTATGTATATATATGTTCCAATTGGTCTATAGTGAATAGAATATGCATAACTTGTTTAATCTTTTCCCATTCATTACACCAAAGATAATGAAAATTTATAATATATGTTACTCGTAAACTTGCTAATGAATATTAACTATCGATAAACGACCACGTGCATGCTAGTTAAGCGTACCAAATTTTCTATCCACAAAATGAAAAACAAATTTAAGACATCCATATTATTTTTAATTATCTTTAATTCTATATTATTATTGGGATGTATTGTGTGTACACAATGGTGTACACACAGGCTTACACCCCCTCATATGTAATAAAAATATTCGTGGGTCTCCTCCATGTAAGGAAAGTGTAAGACTATGTGTACACCATCAGCATTTTCCACTATTATTTTTTATTATTTAATTCAAAATGGTGCTATTTTTTTTTCTCTTTTTGGTAATATATTGTTTTTTTTTAATTATTGTAATAATTTTATAAACTATAATTCAGAAACTTAGAATCAAAATGATGAGATCGCCAGTGCATCTAGAAAATTTTCCTCGAGAAATAAATCTTAAAATGTACAAACTCTTACTACCCTACGCATAAATTTAACTTCGGCTTTTTAGCTAGCTGATTAGCCAAGCCAACCTTATCTCGAGTCTGAACTCCTGAGCTCCCAAGCCATGTAGTACCTTTCTGTGCAACAGTTGGACTGGACGATACACTGAATAGGATTTTAACTCGTTTTTTAATTCAATTATGTCCAATAACATGCGATCTTCCCTGTCAAAGATGTGGCTAAGTCTCTGCTCAACTTATGGCTCGGCTGGCGCGAGGCTGAGATGCAAATCAAGCCCGAATGTATCATCGAAATTAGGCCCATCACCTGGTCTAGAAAATCTACTTAACGAAGGCCCATCCAGCTTCCCGCTGTGGGCTTTAACGGGTTGACCCGCAACACTTGTCAAGCTGGACTCCCCTGCACTGCTGGCATAAGATAAGCTCCCTACACCCCTCCCAGTTGTAGATGCGGAAAACACGCACCCATGCGACACATGTAAGGGATGTGCGGCGCGTGGAACGTAAACCCACGATGGAGAAGGCTGAACCGCCGCAGGAAGAACCACCGGACCCGACGGAGAAAGTAGATGAGGAGGCGGAGCAAAGGCGGAGACTATAGGGTTTCTCATGTAAGACACGGTTGCGTTTCTGTTTGCTTGCATTTGTGCACGTTTCAATTGTTGCCTCTCTTTCTTGTGGGCGTTTTGATGGCCACCTAAGGCCTGTGAATTGGCAAACTCCCGGAAGCAGTACTGGCACTCGTATTTCCGGCCGTCAGAGGTCGGAAAACCACCGGACTCCGGTGACCCTGATCTTCTTTTGGTGGATTCTACCTCTTCTTCTTCTATTACGTTAAAACCAAAGAGCTTCAAGACTCCATTACTTGTGCTGTTATGGCATGTTTTACTTTGATACTCTAACTCTGCCATTTTATATATATCTATGTATGTAATTGTGTGTGTTTATGGGACTGAAAGAAAGGGATGAATTAAGAGAGTTGATTCATTTGTGGGGGTAAAGTTACAAGGGTTTAAGCTTCTGTGGGCAGTGTAAACGATAGATAGATACCATATATATAGTAGAACCGTGGGATTGGATTGTTGGGAGCGAGGGTGGGGTTGCGGACATCCCAAGAAGAAGAAAGTAAGTGTAAATCTGGGGACAGTAACCCAAGAAACACTTAGGGAACCAATGGATTACATTTGTCTTTTGACATGATATACACCCTTCTTAATTTCACAAGGATTGAAATACCTAAAATACCCTTGGATCTAGATGCCAAAATTTTACTAAAATCTAATAATTAGAAGAAAATTATAGTACATGAATTTGAAGGGAAGGGTCAATTCATTTTGCTGTTTTTGTGTTAATGTAAGAAAAGTAGAAGCTAAGCAAAGAATGTGATGCATGTGAGTAAGGGGCAAAAAAGTTACAACTCGAAAGCTCGACCCGATTGGGTCGAGTTTGGCATTATTTCAAGTTGGATCTGGTACCGTCATATTTGAAATTATATAGGTCAAGTAGGTTTATGGTCCAAACCTACCAAACTCATACAAATTGACCTAACCCGAAATCAAAATATGAAAAACCTATTCTAAAATCAAATACAAAGTCGACCATTTTTTCACTTAAAACATCAAATTTAAGCTCTTCCTGTCTCTCTGGTGAGCATCTCTTTTCTCTTTGATGAAACTGCCAATCACCGATTCGACAACACCCCAAGTTCTTGCTGTTTTCATGGTAATTCGTCATCTTTCTCATATTTTGAATATAATTTTTAGAGACACCATTCTTACTCTATTTTCTCAATGACACAATATGTTTGATTAAGAGTTCTAGTTGTAGCCTTGTACCCTTACCCAATCCTAGAAATTCACGGTAAAAATCGTGCCTTAATTGCTTTCTAAGTTAAGGTTGGATTAAATAAGGAAACAAAAGCTAATATGGCGATTATTATCATGCGATTGTACAAATAGTGTGATCGTTTGGCACAATCTGTTTGCTTTCTTTTCTGCATCTTAAGTCCTTGCGATCACAAGGGCTCATGCCTTGTGAGCTCAACTTTTCCTTTACATCCATTTTGGTCCCTGACTTCTTCCTTTTGTTTAGTTCGAATTTTTTCCATGTGCAATTTTGATTTTTCATCTTGAATCTTTAGGATTTAATCTTCCACCTTCCATAATTATTCGCAATCAATCCAATACAAGTTTCAGAAATTTACAATTTAGTTCTTAAAATTTTGAATTTAACTCTCAAAAGTCAAATCGATGAGTGCTCTAACTCTCAAGTGTTTAGTTGCACATTTTATGCATTCCAATAAAAAGATGTCAGCATGCATGTAGCCTGAATAAAACCCACATCTTTCTACCAAAATTCAGTGGCTTGGGCATTTGTACTCAGTTTCTTATCCAAATCTGGAATGTACAGTGGAACGAGCCCCAAGGAAACCTCTCTCTTTCTAATTATCTATAGATTTAGGGAAAATTGCAACAGCGGTCTCTAACCTTTTCATTTTTTTACAAATTTTATCCTAACCTTAATTTTGTGCTAATGAAGGTTCCTAACCTTTTATAGATATGCACTCGAAGTTTATATGGACGGAAACCTTCTAAAACACCGTCAGTTGATAGGAAAAATTCCTTGAAATATCTGCCATCACGACAATTTTATTGGATACTGATACCTTTTTGGACGGCATTTTGGACGGTTTTATTGGATGTTGATTCCTTAATTTTTCGGTTAACTGACAGTGTTTTGGATGGTTTCCATCCAGATGAATCTTAGGTGCATATTTATGAAATGTTAGGAACTTCCGTTAGCACAAAATGAAAATTAGGGCTAAGTCTGTAAAAAATGAAAAGGTTAGGAACCACTGTTACAAATTTTCAATAGATTTATTAAGCCGCGGTCCATGTTTATATGCCCTCTGACTCCCTCAACTACAAAATGCTCAAACTTTTGTAGTCAGATTACATAAAACATATTTTGCATTCACATCACTTGTCACGCCTTATGTCATAAAATATACAGATTGGTTTCACACATGGTAAAAAATCTTTATAAATCGGTTATACTACATGTATATAATGATTTACATATACATGATATTGTGAGATATGATGGGATCAAAATTTCTTCAACCAAATAAAAAAAAAATAAAAATTCTTCACTCTCTTTTTAACATCCCATTCATATATAATTCATTATGTACAAGTGGGAGTGGACATTTTTTCTCGAAATCGATGGAACTGGACCGATACTGTTTAGAATCGATTGGTTTGATTCCGGATATTCTAAACAACGATTTGATTTTGGGACAAATTATTAAGAACCAACCGGTTCTGGTCCGGTTCTCGATTCTAATATGGGAACCGTCGAGAACCGGACGGTTCTGATATGATTTTTTATTTTTTTCTTTTTTGGTAAAATATATGACTCAATCTCCAATCACTTCTATAAAAACTAATCAAGTTCCTTCTCCATTTTAGACTTCAGCACTTTCATTCTCTTTGATTCTTTCATTCTCTCTTCTTATAATTCTTTTATTAATTGATTCTCAAGCCAAATTAGAATATTGGGTAAATGTATACTTAAATAAATTTATTTACTATATATAATTTCATTTCTAATATGCGAAGTTTTTATTTTGTTTTCACTTTGATTACATAGTTATTGATTAGATCGAAACTTCTCATCTAGATTTATACAAATTATAACCGACAGAACCAGAAGTTACAATAAATTTTTAAAGGGTATCCAATTCAATGTAGGATTTTGATTTTGATTTTGATGGAAGTTTGTTTAATCATTGGAGTACTATGCAGTTTATATAAGTTGCTGATTGCTTGATGATAGTAACTTGTATTTTTTGGATATTGTTTTTAAATTTGTATACTTAGTTTTTTTTAATCTTTGAATAGTATGTTTGATTTTTCTATATTTTGTTAAAAGTATCATGTTGGTAACATATTTAGAATTTTCATTAGTGAACATTTTATTTTTACATTTGCAATGTAAAGAACTAGATCGGATCAAAACGAAATCGATTGGTTCGGTTCCGGTTCAGTTTCATAGCTAACTATGGAACCAATGATTCCATTTCTAAAATTTCCATTGGTATTTGGTTCGATTCGATTCTCTTTGGAATCGGATCGAATCGGACCGCGCTCACTCCTATATACAAGTAGCATAATTTTAATAAAATAAGAAATTTTCTCACCTGAACATAGGAGTGTTAACGAGTTGAGTCGGAACTCCCGGCTCGGGTTTTTTTACGTCGAGCTTTTTTTGGCCCGAGTCGAGTCAAGCCGAGCAAAAGCTCGACCAAAAAATTAAGGTTCAACTCGAGGTTTCGACCGGCCTTGTTGAGCCAACTTGATTTTTTTTCCTTTGTTGCCTGTTTGGCAGCTACTCAACAAGCAGCTGGGAGATTTATTTATTTATTTATTTTTATTTAAACGGACTGGCCCCTATGGCTCAACGGGCCGACCGGAGCTCGAGCAAACTCCCCAAAATGGGGCTTGGCCCGAGCCTTGAGTTGGGCCAGCTCAGGCTTTTTTCAGGCAGAGTCACGGACCGCCCCAATCGACTAGCCGATTGCCATCCCTACTTGAACATATCAACGCGTGAATTAACAATCGATGTAATAATGGAAGCACTTCATGTATCCCGAGTGCCTAGCTTCAATCTTTTGAATTTATTGTGGTTGCAAAGCGTCAGAATGATATACTCTATTAATATGGAGACGAACAATCTTACTTCAAAATTTGAAGTTCATGTATAGTCCCTTTATTTAGAAAATTAAAATGGAGGACAATATTAGCTAGGTACTTAATATATATGAAATGTGTAAATTAGTTGTAAGGTTGCCGGTGTGTAAGTGTTACATCTTACAAGTCAGATTGGAGCCCACCATTACGTGTTGATGATGAATTATTGTTTACGATGTTTGCGTGATTGACGTTGAAATTTACAAAGTTTATGCATTGCTGTCCCTGTATAAGATCTCCCCAATCAAACTGCATGAGTTTAGAGAGAGAATGTGGGGTGGGTTTGGGGTGGAGTAGGGTAGAATAGGGTAGCGTAGGGTGAGGGAAGTGGGGAGGGATTTACAAAAGCATAGTTGATTAACGTGTGTGTATATGTGACAAAAATGAATTAATCAGATAGCTCTTCCAAAGTCTTCACCAAAACTCCAAGAATGACCCACCATGTCTCCTCTTTATATCTTGTCTCACTTAATTAGTCAAATTTTTCTTCACAAGAAATACTAATTAAGCATAATTTCCTCGGTTAAAAATTTATGAATTTTGGATTAAGGATAAAGAAATAATGAAAATTGTTAATATTTTAATAAGCAGTTCTCCACTCCAATATTCCAACCTGCATTTATATAAGCATAATCATGATACAATATGAAAGTCAAATTGACTTTTGAAATAGGCTTTACAATTATTTTATAGAAAATATTTTGAGATGTTATTCAGACAAGATAGAATGTAATTGATTAGGAGAAAAAAGTGTAATAGAATTTTTTAATTACGGTGCAAAATCTTTTTAAGATTTAAAGTGACAAATATGTTATTAGAATTTCGATTCGATTCCAGATAATTAATCTCAAGAGGACTTAGCTTCTATAGTATTATTTTATTGAACTAGCGTTCAATATGGTTCGTGAAGATACATTAAATAAATGTTATATTGAAAGAATAATTAACACAATAATCTATAATTCTTTTGATGATTTTTATTTGGTAGATAAGAAAATTTGGTTTTGGTTTTGTTTGCCACTTACCTTCTAGACTATTGTTTTTTCTCAAATTGGAAAAATTATGTAATATTTATAAGTCCTATAATGGTGGGACCAAGCCATTGTTTGCATGTTTAATAGGGAGCTAAAATCATGGTCATAGATTAAGGAAGCCCAATTAATGAACACAAAATGTTAATCAATTTATAGCTTTAGAAAATATGCATCCAATGATTTTTGGGGACATTTTCAATGGCTATGGGGCTCAAGAAGTAGGTTTGACAAGAAAGATAATGTAATGAAGTGACCCTTAGTTTTAAAGTAAGTAGTTGTATTCATAAAGATTGGAAGTTTACATAAAGTAGTTTAGACTCTCAACAAGTGGCTAATTTAAATTTTGTATTCTCTAAACTTTGGGAATCATTTTC